ACTACATACCAGTAGCAGCTTCCCAGTTGTGACATGCAAAAATGTTGCCAGACATTTGCAAATATCTCCTGGGAGATAAAATCACTCCCACTTGAGAACCGCTGATCTAAACCTACACATTAAAATATCAGAGACAACATCTGAAGCTGATGTTGTATAATATTGTATTTCAACTATAAGTGAATATATATAGAGAGAGAGTCACAGGACGTATAGTGTGGGAGTGGAGTCAAGGGAATTGTAATAGAGATGTATGATATTGGGGGAGAAGTGGGGTGGCAGATTGGGGGAGGGGGTTGTCACTTTGAGGGGTAAAAAGTATAACTATTGCACTGTGTTATACAGCTGAAACTAATTTTTAAAAAATGTTTATTTCACAATAAAAATAAATAAATAAAATATCAGAGACAGAAGTCTGGAAGTAGGAGTAGGTGAATGCCTGGTGTCATCTTTAGAAAAGTTTAGACTTGCTGTGCCCCACAGTGAGTTCAGAGATGAGATGGGAATTAGTTCGTTCTGCAACCATAAGTATGTGTTATATCAAGACCTGAATTTTATCCCTTCTTTATAAGTATTCCTCCAGCAACACAAATTTATATAAAACCATCTTTCCAGATTTTCTTTTTCATTTATGAAGAGCATTACATCCCTGGCAAGGATTTTGAAAGTGATACTTTGTCAAAGCTTCCAGTGCATTTCTAGTAGGATAGAAGAAGTATGTTAGTTCCTAATTTAGTAGTACAGTCAGTTTTGCTGTAACACAACATGTATGTCCCTAAAAGTCACCTCACTGTGCAAAATTGGGCAATGAAAAGCATGGGACTTCTGTGAAAAATGGGCTTAGGGGCATCCCACTCAAAAACTTCATTAGTGACACATACAAAACAAACATAGGAATCTAATAAAGGGTCGCACAGTTTCACACATGTTAAAATAAATGGTTAGGAAATACAAAAATACTACAGATACACTTTGCCTTGAAAAAGACCCACAGTTTGGGGAAGTGGACATTGGAAGGGTTTCAGCTTGTGCGTTATTGGGAAGTGTTGGAAGTAGGGTGATCTGAAATTAGAAAGTTGTATCACTACACATGGATGGGTGTGTTTCATGCAACAGGCAATGAACTCAAGTTGCTGGTAGATACTTAACGGTTGTGCAGATGTGTGATTGGTATATTGCTGTGTGGCTGGAATTCCATTGGGCACAGTTTTCTGCATTCACCTAGAGTTTCTCACAGACAAGATCATGCCTAAACAAATGGGGAATTTATGTGATGCTCAGATTGTTCCCTTATAAGTGCATTGGAACACTGCTACACAAGTGTTCTAGTGAAACTGATGGTACTCGTGATCTGGATTTTGAGGCCCTTCTAAAGAAAAAACCCCAAAACTGTGGACTACAAAAAAGATGGCAAGTGTATGATGAATACATGTGCTTTGTAAATAATGCAGGGGACAAACTTTGGTAGAATTGGAGAAAGGCTGGCAATCATTGCCTCTCCTGTCCTCCCCCATGGTCCTGAGCAGCCATTCCTCTTCCGAGCCAAGGACAATCAGTGATCACGACCTGATACTTAACAGTGGGCCAGCCACCTCCCACAGTGCCCAGCTGCTGTATGTAGTAAAGAAACAATGGATTATGTATTAAAAGAATTCTATGCATTAACTGATGCCCTTGTGGAATTTTTTTTTCCCCAAAAAAATACCTCACTTAGATTTCATTTACATTGATTTCACTTACTGGTTTAGTATTTGTTTAACTCATACATTTCTTTTCTGTGAATGATTTATAAATTATGTTTGTCCTTTACCGTTACAATACTTAAAAATGCAATATACTCTAAAAATAAAGTGTAAATGCCAATATAATAAGGAATGGTTTTGAAATTTAAAAATATATTTAAAATGTGTTTTTAAATATATATAATGCATTTAAAAATACATTTGCACAAGAGCAGTGAGGATGGGCAGTCCTGTTAGGTGGTGGAAAATTACCACACTTGAACAGTCAAGACTGGAATTGAAATTTTGGCATATCATACTTTTATTTTAATTCATTTTAGATGAAATTATTAGAAAACATTACTCTGATATTTCTGTTTGATGAGTATGTTTTATTAGGAGATGACAGTTTTCTTATTCTAATTGCCTATAAAATCTCATTTTTCTGAATTTGAATTTTATGGAAACCTGGTCATCTTCAGTGACTATAACCTAAACTACCTCATTGTACAGATTTTGGGGATTTAACATTTTAGAAAATGCGCTATGTGGTTTTTGTTTTGTTTTGTTTTTAATTAGTAACCAAGAGCCAGATTTTAGGAGTATTGTGTAAGTCAGAACAAATGAATAAACATTTCAGAGGACTTCTTTGTTTACTTTATGTTCACAATTTGAGAGATGTAGTAGGAAAGGTTATTTTTTTTTCATTAAAAACTAGTAAGACTTTTGTGTTAGAGTGTCCTTGTAGATTTTATATGAATGTTTATACCAATTTAATATCATAACATTAAATAAAAGAAAACACATTGGATACTTTGAAGAAGTAAAAGAAGAAAATAAATGTATTCATATTTCATAGTGGTTTTAGTCAGTGGTCTTTTAACTAAGATGAAATACTAACATTTTTATTTAGTTTTAAGACATGGTTTTAAAACTTGACAATGATTGCATGATAAAAATGTCAATTTAACTCTCCATCGGGCGCAACTGATCTCACAGATTTATTGCACACAAATTTTCAAATATCTAACAGTTAACTTAAGCATCATGACCTATCGCTTCCATATCTTCCCCCTCCACCGTAACCTATAGCCAGTCTTTGTGACTTAATACAGTAAAGATGTATTTCATAGTGACATCTTTGTGTGCAATGAATCTGTGAGGTCAGTTGCACCTGACAAAGGGTTAATTGAAGTAGCATCCACTTTGCGGGGAAACAATGTTTGGGCTCCATTTTAATCATGCATTATTTTAATATCTCCATTGCCCTGCATCCTTGTCTACTGGGTACTCAAATCTGTTTAGTGTTCAGGAAGTCAATATAGTCTCTTAGCCCAATAGCCATTGCAGAGCCATGTCATTGTAACTTAGAGCATTTGGAATATTAGCATTAGAGTCTACTGTAGTCTTCCCAGGTAAAATGACATAGCATAGGGAAATAATGCAATAAATAAGGGCATTGTTCGTTTTCTTTTTGCAATATTGGTTTTTATAAAAAGAATTTGTGTTTTTGCTCTAGCTACCACTCAACCAACTCTAACTCTTTAGTGATCCTAGCCAAGGTAGAGTTTAAAAAAAAACCCCAAAAAATGATCTTCCATTTTTCATTATTAAGGTGTTTAAACCCTACCACAGGTTACTTTATCCCCTTCTTACCAGTATTCTGTTTAAACATCAGAATTTACATACCTTGACACATTCAGATACTCCAGTTATTTTCCACTTATCTCCACACTATACTTTCTTAGTTATTGTGTTATAAATGTATTGCTTCTTACATAAACTCATATTCCACATGAGACTTTAATTTCCACTATTGTACTTTTTTAAATCAGCAGGTAATAATGTCACTTGCATACTTTTATGCAGTGAAAATTCCACCTTAAATAAATATCTAAAACCCACCAAATCTTAACACCTGTTTGAATGTGTTTGTATAAAGATGAGATATTATCACAAAAGCTGATAATTTATTAGTCCTGTGTGCTTAGTAGACCATTAACTCAAGGAATAATACAAGCACATTGTATTCCATAAATCATTCTGTACAATTGTCAATATGTAATGTTTTTAAAACACTGTATACCTTTTCTTTTGTATGGTTTAAGTTTTATTTAATGGCTAGAATTTCAAGTACTGAGTTACCAATAAAAATAATGAAAGTTAAGATTTGGAAAAGAAACTTAAATATCTAAAGATTGCCTGAAAGTTTGTTGCTGGTGGTTATAGACTTCATGCGATCCAGAGCACATGTAATAATCGTTTAAGATTAACAAAGCAATATTCAGTACAACATCTTGAAAATTTTCTCTGTCATGAAAGTAAATTTTCTAAGGTCGGACACACCAATGATGGGTTGATTTATGGTATAAGACCCAATGGAAAAAAATATTAATTTTCAAACGATGTATGTTTAATATCAATGTATAGTGTGTATTGTTTTGGCATCTGGTAGTTTTGGCTTAGATAAATAGTTGGGGATTTTTTTTCTGCTCTCATTTCAAGAACAATGTTGGAGGCTTTATCACTCAACCTTGAAAGAAAGTATTTCTTATGCAAAAGTCTTATTCTGCAAAAAATAGTTATCCTTTAATTCAAAGCAAATTTTTTTCATCAACCCTAAGTAGATTTGTTTGATTGTTTCTGTTGTCATTTGTATATTTCATTTAAGGTTTTTGTTTTCTCCTTCAGATTCCATTTTTCTGTAGCATATTTTCCTTTAAGTATCACAAAAATCAATCCAATTACATTATGTATATAAAGACTCTTGTAAAACAAAAACACCATAAATTATTACTCTTCCCGTGGTACTCCATTTTTTAATGTACTGGCACCGATATAGAGCACTGTTTTCCTTTGTCTGTTTTTTTATATGTGAATTTGCCATTCGGTGCCTAAATTAAGATACAGAATAACAAAGGTGAGTAGATACTCACACTTATTTTTGTGGTCCACCTGTCAAATGTAAAATGCGATGGTCGTGGAGCCACATCAACTTACCTTTGTTTATAAAATAGTGGGAAGAAAGCATTGAGGTGAGATCAGACTGGAAGGGTGAGTTTATCTGTATTGTAAAACTGTAAGTAGCATTTACACACACGTGTACACACAGTAGATAGCAGAAATGGCGTATTTAGAAATTTCAATACCTAGAGGTTTGACTTTCATCTCTATTCACTAACTTGAATGTTATAATAAAGAAATGACTATTTTGCTACCAGAACATTAGTAAAACATTTGTGGTAGTAGAAGTAACATACGTTTTTCTCTTTTCTTCAGCCATAATGAAAGGAAAGTGACCTGTAAACATCCAGTCACAGGACAGCCATCACAGGACAACTGTATTTTTGTAGTGAATGAACAGTAAGTGAAAAGTTTCGTGAAATTCCTCTGTTCAAAATGGAGTTAGCATTGAGATTGCTTATTATGAACATGTAATACAGTACAATTGATCAGATGTCCCGTGTGAACATTTGAAGTCAAGTATAATAACAATGCCATTTGTTTACTATGTGTGGTATAGAAACATGACTTAAGTTTTGTTTTTTTTCCTTTTAATGAGGAATGTAATTTCAGAAGCTGTTTTTACAGTCTCTCAAACAGAGTAAGCTCAAGAGCCCAGGGTGCAAAGTCAGAAACCATAAACTTGGTCAGATTGTTTAAATAATTTGGGCTCAGTGTTCCTCATCCTTAAATCAGAGATAGTGGTTATTACCATTTCTCAGGATTTTTATAAGCATCAAATGAAATGTGTGTGAAAATATTTTATATGTTGTTAATCTGTTCACAGAAATTCATTATTGATAGCATTGTTTTTACTATTAGAATAGCTACTTTGTAACTAAATTTTTAAAGTTTCCAGTTAGATGACCAAATAGAATATCTGTAATAATGCTTATTAAAGTAAATATGATATTAACTTATGTTGTGATTAGGAGAAGTGTTAGTTATATTTAAAGTACAGTAAAACCATGGATTGCCGAGTGCCTTGGTTTGCAAGTGTTCTGCAAGACGAGCAAACACTTCTAATACATTTTAACGTGGTAAACAAGTGATGTCTTGCAATATGAGTAGTTTGTTTCCGGAACAAATTATGCTCGCAAACCAAGGTATTACCGTACTTGTAAATATTAAGCTCTGACCACAGAGTTTATTAAGCTCTAATTAGTATCTGTTTTACAAAAGAAGTACATGAGCATTGTTAACTTTAGGGAAGCTTTATTGTAAAGCAGTTTACATGTACAGCATGTTCTAGCATTCTGACATATTTTCAGGACTGTTTCAACTATGACTTCTGAAGAAAAGAAGGAACGACCTATAAGTATGATAAATGAAGCTTCTAACTATAACATGACTTCAGATTACGCAGTGCATCCAGTGAGCCCTGTAGGCAGAGTAAGTTATTTTGCTTACTGTTAATAATTGATAGCTGGTATAATTGGTAATCAGCGTGTTACTATTACTCTTAATGGACTTTAGAATTATAGAATAATCATTTCATCTTTTTATTACATGAACCTAATTACATTCAAGGTAATTGACATAGAAGCCTTGGCTTGGAATATAATGTAATAAGATTGTATTTTAATAATTTAATGACTTACATTTTTAAAAGTATTATTGAGTTCAGATTTTGAGTAATATTACAAATGTGTAGCGCATGTTTGTATGACAGAATGGCAGTATTGAATAAGCTTAAGTTTTAAAGTTGAAGATTAATACAGAGGGTGCCAAAAAAATGTATAAACATTTTAAGAAAAGAAAAAACAATTAAAATTGTAATACTTAATATATACTGATAACAAAAGATGAACGTAAGTCACATTCGACTTCTGCAATTACAAGAGGCACTTTAAAGTGGTTACCATCAGTGTCCAGACGCTTTTGATTTTGGTGAACTACTGCTTGAGAAACGTTGACCAAAGTTTCCACTTGTATACATTTTTTTTGGCACCCCAGTATAATAATGGCCTAGAAATTCTATTGTCTGACTATTAGGTATGCCTAGAATGAGAAGACTTGCACTATTTAAAAATAAATGTAAAATCCCTTACTACTAAAGGGAAACTCGATACCAGTGTACTTGATGACCAGGAAGTATCTAGCAGAACCCATTATAAGAAATGTGCCAAAGCCATATGGAAATAGAAGTGCGTGGTGTTTCCTTATAATCAGAAACAACATTAATTGTTTAGTCTGTGATCCTAGAGTTGTGTGTCTACTTGTAGTTATTCTTGTACTTTAAAATACAATGTTATTTTAAATTTATAATCTTAATATAAAAGTTTCTTCAAACTTTTGGATAATTTGCTACTAAGTCTGAATAAATGAATAATTGCCTTAAAGTTGCTGCTTATTTACTAAATTAATGGATAGCGAGAGAATCAAGAGATGATAAAGAATAGTCTTTATTTATTTAAAAATAATTAATATTTTATAATAGTTAAACAGTTGTAATAGTAAATTATGATTATTGTAAAGAAATTATCAGTAGACAGTTATCTATTTTAAATGCCTGTTAAGGTTTTATAAATGTAATTTTGTAGAATATTACAAGTAAATGTAAATTTTCAAAAATATATAGTTAATTTTTAATTCTTGTATAACAAAATGCTAGTAGGATAACTGAGTTGTAATACTTCATTTATATATATATATATATATTATTATATATTATTATTACTATTTTTTAGCTGAGCCATCCTGCCACCTGTTGGCAGCTCAGCGGCAGCTCAGCTCGGGCCAGGAATTGAACCATCGACCCTGTTGCTCATGCTCGCACTCTTGAGCGAGCTCCTAACCAACTGAGCCACTCAGCCAGCCCTCATTAATATATTTTAATTAAATCTAGAAATATGATAGGTGGATTAAAGTCCACTAAGTCATTGTCTGGAAATAAAGTTGGATCTGTGCCTCACACTTTATACCAAAAATTTTCCAGGTAGATCAGGTGTTAAAACGTTAAAAATAAAACTACTAATGTACAGCAGAAAACAATGGAAGACAAAGAAAGAAAGAGAGAGAGAGAAGCAGGAAGGAAGGGAAGAAGCGGGAGGGAGGGACTCAGAATGTAGATGGACTTCCTAAATATGTCAAATTGAGAAAGAAATTCAGGTATAGAAAATTATCATGCATGCATAATATCTGTAATTCATGTAACAATTAAAGAATAATTCCTTTATGATTAAAGAAGTGCTATGAATCAATAAGAAAAATGCTTATAACCCAGTTTTTAAATGGCACATATGTATTGTAAAATCACTTCCGAGATGGGGGGGAAGAATGTTACTCTTAAAATATATTAAAAAGATGCTCAAATTCATTCATAATATGAAAAATGCTACTTAAAACCGTAAAAGGGCACCATTCCCCACTTATCTGATTTACAAAGATTAAAAAGTTTTATAGCGCAGGCAGGAGTGTGAGTAAAGAAGTATTCTTTATATAGTGAGCTCCAAGAAATAGTGGAACAGAAGCGTAGTTATATATGAACTCATTTGAGGAAAAAAAATCCGTAACTATGAAAACAATTATTTTAGATGGATAGACACACAGATACAGTGATATTGGTTGCCCCAGAGGCTTGTGGGTAGGACTTGTTTGGGTGCTGGTACCTAGGGGTGAGAGAGAAGTACACTGGTCCTTGTTTTCCTTTTTGTACCATTTGAGTTTTATGTTGTGTTTAAGCATTATCTGTTCAAAAGCAAATTAAAATTTATTTAAAAAGCACATGCTTTAGGAAAAAATGTGATTGATGTTGGGCCTTAACATTCTATTATATACTAATATAAGCTTCACAAAACAAAATTCTAGTGAAATACGCTAGATTTCCAAAGATTCTAGGTTAAGTTGAAAAATAAGAGATGACTTGATATTACTTACTTTCATAGAGAAATTAAAATTCAGCTTCGTTGTTTTTATGCTTGTTGGTTTCTACTACCATTTCTGCCAAAATAAATCTTCATGCTAAACATAGCAGTATCTTTAAAGATTGTGTATCCTTATGTGTACTTTTAAGAACATGCTAAACACCATCTGTTTGGTATCATTCGACTTCCGAATTGTCGATAAAGAAGAAAATACTGCATGACATTAAGCAGATCCTTCCAGTCTTGTTTTCACTTGATGTGACATGTTTGTTTATATTTTATATCTGAGTATTTTTCTTACGACTTGATGCTAGTTTCCTTCAATTGAAACACTATTAAATGCAAATATAAAGCAAAAAATGCTGTCGTTTGGATTATTATACTAATTTTTACTCAAGGTTCATTCAGTTATATAGCAGGTAGGACAAAACACTGCCACAACACGATGCCTTTTTAAAAAATTGTATATCCAGATTCTAAAGAAGAAATTGTAAAACTTGTGATTCTTTTGTAATATCCTGGGGGAAGAAGTCTTTGTGCAGAATTCTTACACTTGAAAGAACTAAGCCAACAAAAGCAGAGTTACAAGAATTTACCTGAAAAGATTAAGTCCTGCGAGTTTCAGAAGAATGTGAAAAGAGATTAAAATTATGAAGATGAAATATAAACTCAAATATCTAGGCACTGATACCACCACATTGTCTGTTTTGCTTTTTTCTGTTTAGACTTCACGGGCTTCAAAGAAAGTTCATAATTTTGGAAAGAGATCAAATTCAATTAAAAGGAACCCTAATGCACCTGTGGTCAGACGAGGCTGGCTTTATAAACAGGTAATTTTTTTTTTTTCCTATTTGGTGTGGAAAAAGGACAGAATCAAAAGGGTTTTTTTCTGGCTGAATCTCCTTAAGACTATTATATAAAATGGAGGAGGACCTGTAGAGCAGTCCTCCAGGTTGTTGCACCTCTTATTTCCACTCAGGAATGTTAGGGGAACAGTAAAGAAAGAAAAGGTGATGGATGTTGCTTAGAACAGAGACGGTCAGTGTGTTTGTTGTAGGTATTTCTAGATTTGAAATTAAATATATGCTGTATGAAATGTTAGGAATAACATGGTAAAATTATCCGGGCAGAAATATTTTTTAAATGGAAAAAAAAACATACAGAGGTATTGTTCATTTTTCTAGTCATATAAAAATCATTAGAGAAATGTACAATTATATGCTTCTCAGCTTTATAGAGCAATTCGATCATAATTTGAGATTTTCCTGATTCTCCCCCCCCCCCAGATTTTCACTCCTATGCTCTCAAAACTACTTTCTTAAGTGTTTATGCTATTTTTTTCTTTTCTTGTTTGCCCGTTTGCTCAAGCATGTTTCACTCTGACACCCTGAATAAGTTGGGTTTTATATTGCTCTGTTGTCTGGAAAACCTGATAACTAAGATTTTTTGGAACCTTGTCATTAGTTAGGAATAATTAGGGTGCATGTTTTGTAATATCCTGGGGGAAGAAGTCTTTGTGCAGAAACATTGGATTTTATGACATCTATTTTGACTGCTTAAAGGATGTGTTTTCTGTTTTTACTTGTTGATTTGCAGCTGGGTTTCAGATAAGTGACCACCACGTAACTGAGATGATCTGTTTGGCATGCAAGACCTTTATCTGTCTTTGTTCTATCTCTCTGATTCTACATGTATACAGATGATACAGAGCAAATTAAATAATAGTTCATTGTGATGACACATATTTCTTTTGTCAAATATTGCTAATTGCTTTCAAATGACCTAATAATTATAGTCATTAAAATACATAATGAGTTTGATATGAAACATTCACTAAACATTGTTCCACCTGAAAGTTGGGTAGCAGCTAAACTAATGTATTGGAACAGGGAGGATCACCTTAAAATCCAGAGAATTCCCAGCCTTTCAATTTCTCACTGAGTTGATTGGGTATGTAACTTGGATACCAACTTTTCATTTTTGTTTAACAATCATTTACTATATTTTTAACCATCTGATATTTAAACTTACCCAAACTGAAAGGTTTTTTTAAACTAGTCTTTCTAAAAAGATCGAGTTATGTTTAAAAAGCTCAGTGCAGTATTGAGCCTAAGAGAGGTTGGGGAACTCCTTATTTGAAAGGGTTCCCGTTCTTGTTTCTTTTCTTTTCTTTTCTTTTCTTTTTTTTTTTTTTTAAAGCTGAGCCATCCTGTCACCTGTTGGCAGCTCAGCGGCAGCTCAGCTCAGGCCAGGACTCGAACTGCTGTTGCTCAGAGCTCACACTCTTAAGTGAGCTCTTAACCAACTGAGCCATTCGGCCAGCCCTCGTTCTTGTTTCTTGATCTCTTGGTAAATTTAGTACTGCAGAAGTGTTGCCAATCAATTTCTCTATGTATTTATTTTGTAATAGATTTGACTTAACAGAGAATATTTGTTTGCAGAGCGGCTTGTGACTAGAGAATATTTGTTTGCAGAGCTGCTTAAATATCTAAACTTCTAAAAACTATCTGTACTAAAGAGTGAAAAAAAATTAGGAAATTGAAAGTACCATATACCAGTATGTTTTCTGTTTTTTCCTTTCCTTAGCATAGCTGTCAGTTTTAAGGAGAAATCTTTTTCTTTGAGAGATTTTTCACCCATATAATTTCTGTAGTTCTAATGTCATTATTAGATGATGGTCACAACTAGAAATTAATTGAGATGTATTAATCAATGCACATCCAAGCTGGCCTTTTTTTTTTTTCTTATTTCTCTTACAGTTTTGCTTTATTGCATGTGGGAAGATAATTTTTTATTCAAATTGTAACTGTTTGAGCTTGGTATCTTTATGAATTAAGTTACTTTGAAAGAGTGCCAAAAAGGTACTCTTTTCTGCAGGGTTAGCAAAACTCAAACTGTATATGTAAGAAGAAAAAAATGTTTATGAAATGTATTTATATGCTAAGCCTCCTTTAGCACATTTTAAATCATATTGCCTTTGCAGTAATTTCAGTTCACATATTTTTCTTGTTGAAGATTAACATATTTATTAAACCTGGTTTACCAGAATGCACATACTGCTGTATGGTTACATTATCCTCATCAGACGTGTGTTTAGGAGAGTGAATTTCACATTGCTTACAGACATGAAATTAAATCATATTGCTTCAGCAGTATTCCTTTTACATGATAGCATTACTCTTCAGAGACAAGCGTATTTGGGACTATCTGAATATGATACAAGTCCATAGAAAACTACCCCACAATTTTGATTGGCTTTTTAATTAGATTACTGTGTAGCATATATCAAACACCTCGTTTTTAAAACTTATTTTAAATAAATGCACCAGAAATTTTAATTTTCTGAAAGAAGAAAATTTTTTCTATGCTGATTTAATACAGGACAGTACAGGCATGAAGCTATGGAAGAAACGCTGGTTCGTGCTTTCTGACCTTTGTCTGTTTTATTATAGAGGTGAGTTGACCATAAACTGTCTTAGTGTATTATTATGTTATAATTGCCATAGAATATATGTTAAATATCAGATACATTTTTAAAGAAAAAACACTACAATTCTCTTTGTATTTTCTTTTTAACAAACAGCATCTCAAAGCATCTAGTATCATTGACATATAATACTGAGTAAGTGAGGTATGAAAGAAGACAACATAGTACATTCGAGCCAGTTAGTCTGAGTTTTGGTCCAGTTTTTATAATCTGATTGTGTTAATATGATTTGTTTTGTGTAAAGAGCACATGATGGGGTGGCTTTTGGACCAGAGTCCACTGTCCTTCCAGAATGCCAGCATTCTGAATAAACCGGCTTCTTTCCACCAAAAAAAAAAAAAGAAAAGAAAAACAAGAGCATATCGATCTTCACTCTATAATGTTATCTTTGAATTCAGTGCCTAATAGATAAAAAATCATGTGTTTGATGAGATTATTTTTACATGTCAGCTTTGTCAGACCTAGCTATTGGTCGGTCCATTGAGCACCCAATTCTCAGCAAATGATTTTAGAATATCGAAGGCACTACTATGACGTGTTGGTACATTTTTTTTAAATAACAAATAAATGTATTTATTATAACCCCCTTCTGTCTCCCCTCCACTTTTTAAACAAACAATGACAGCCTCCCTGAAACATGGAGAAAGTTGTGGAAGAGATACATATCAGGCTGTCAATGTTGGTGAAGAAATAAAGGTATTATTAAGTATGGAATAGCAGACTTCATTTATCCTTTATGGATATCATAAACTTCTTTATTTATATTTTTTAAATTAGCAAGTTATTAATACAGCTTTAAGCTGAAGTCTCTGTTCATGTGCTGTATAAATCTGTTAGCTACTACAAAGTTGGTACCTGACAATGGAGGGTATACATAGGTTTTTTTCTCCATAGAAATCTGCCTCAGCTGTGATATAAAATCATGAATCTGGACAATCACTTCTTCTCTACTTTAAAGTCTCTTTGGAAACCGTCACTAAAGAATTAGATTGTCAGTGTGTAATTAATAATTTATAACTTTCCTAGATAAGTATATCACAAGATAGAGGATTTTAGAACCAGTGAGCAGTTTTAAAGTTTACTTTGTGGTTACAAAAAAGTATGGCCAAATTCTACAGTCATCTGTCAAAGCAATAATAATGCATATTAACCTTCAGATTTTAAATACTAGAATTATAGTCATCTTTTCCTCCTCCCACTGCAAGCTGTGGTTGAAAAGTACTGCTGAGTCAGAATTGACCAAACGTATAAAATTTCATTTTGCCATAGAGATGTTAGCCAGGCTGCAATTGTGGTATTATCTTCAGTGCCAAGCTTACACTACAATTTTCCTTAAAGGTTTTCCCACTCTTTCAGAAAAGTCAGAAATTGTAACTCAGGCATTATTCCTTAGCTTAGAATTTGTAATATTTCAGTATATTTATGGACTGCTTAAAGCTTTAAATGAGAACAAGACAATGTTTGTTACTACTTCTCATGCAAAAATATTTTAATGTTAATTTGCAACAAAAACAACACTGAATTCCTTGTAATTTGCTAGAGAAAAGGTTCTCCTCATCACTTTTATTAAAATAGAAAAACTTTTCACCTAATTTGAAAAAAGTAAAGGTAAGTTCAGAAACTATGTTGAATGTGAGATTCCGTGTTATTATTAACTATGCATTTTATATCCAGTGTATTTATTAATTTTAGTATGGTTTCCCAGATTGGACTAATGCAAAAAAAAGAAGAAGAAATAGAAAGAAATGCCATTTAACTCACTTTTATTCTTCAGGTGGTTGAAAAGAAATATATGATATTATACACTTTGACTATTTTATCAGCAGGAAATGTCAGGTTTTCAATAAAAGCTATCAGATTTTAGTGAGATGATCATAATAGCTTACATTTTTTTGAGTGTTTTCTGTGTATATTTGCTGACCTTGTAACACAGATGATCTATTTCATCTCTTCCTCGCAGCCACCTGATAAGGTGGGAAATCTTATTATGCCCATTCACACAAAAGGAAACCTAAGGGACAGTGAGGTCAATTTGTTTGCCTGAAGCCTCACACCGAGTAAGTGTCAGAGCCAGAATTTGCACCCAGGCACTTTTCTTAACCACAAGATTTGGGCCCTGTCCAGATCTCCTCTTCTGTCTACTAGATGCAATGGCCTCATTCATTTCTTCTGTATTTCTCAAAGCATCTAGTCTACTAACATACAGAGTGTGCTGTCAGAATTTTCTAACAGATCAGTTCGTGTTTTACAGATATGGAAAATAAGACATAGAGAATAAGTGATTTGCTGTGTTTTACAGTAGGTTGGCAACACATACCAGATGCAAGTCCAAGTTCCCACTGTTCTTTGCTGCATAGCAGGCAGATCGTGAACCCACTGTGATAAATCGCTTAGATTGCCCAATTCTATAGTCAGTCTATTGATGAAGCTTACCATGGGACTTAAGTCATTCAACAAATATTTATTGAGCAGGACCTGCTGTCAAAACAGCAGTGAGAAAAAGCTCTCATGAAGCTTACTTTCTAGAGAGGTCAGAGAGACAGTAAATAAACTCAAAGAAGTAAACAACACCATGATAAGTGCTTTTAGGAAAATACAGTCATAGTATGAAAGAGAGGCATGGGAGAAAGATCTCTTCGGATTGATACTCTGAGCAGATATTTTAAGTAGCAAGATCTCAGTTACGAGGAGGAGCTAGTCAGCAGAGTATTCCAGGCAGGGGGAGCAGTAGTGCAAAGCTCTAAGGTAGGAAAGTGTTTGGAAGGCGCAGAAAGGGACCAGCATACCGAGCTGAGGGACTGTTCTGAGGGACTGTTCGTAGGGAAGGAGATGGATGGATGGAAGAAATGGAGATCCCACTAATGTAGGACTCTGTTGGAGTGTGAATTCCACTGTAAAGGTTGTAAGGAAACAATTGGATGTTTTTAAGCATGAGAATGATATCCTTTGATTTACAACTTGAAAAGTTTCTCAAGCTGCTATTGGAGAATGTATTACAAAGGGGAAGGAAGGAAGCAGAGACTGTTGGGAGTTATTTTGTAGAAATAATGATGGCTTAGACTAAGGTGGTAGCTAGCAGCGAGCTCTTTTGATGTCAGACATTAGGTAGTAGGATGCAGAAATGAACAATGTAAACCTCTCTTATGGTACTCACAGATTAGCTGAAGGATTCTGGGAGAAAAATGTCAGAGTGTTCAGCTATGTTGAATGAGTGTTGACCAGGCCTGTACAAGGAAGGGATTAAGAGAGAAAGGTGGTCCAGGCCAAGGACTTAGCTTGTACAAAGCATGAGTCAACAGGGCATATTTGTAAAATTACACATCGGGCTTATTTTGTGGAATGAAGGTTAGATCTGAAAAGGCTAAATTGTAGATCAAGGCACAGAGGCATTTGTTTGCCATCCTAATGAATTTAAACTCCATCTTGAATGCAAGAAGAACAGGATCAAGTGCACATTTTAGAAAAAGTTTCTTATCACTTGAACTAAAAGCCAAGAGACCCATTAACAAAGTATTGAAGTATTCTAGGTGAGCTTTGATAATTAGTAATAATATTTCAGTCAATAAGTTTGTATGTATTTTTTTTCTTGTTCTCAAACACCAATAAAGCTGAAGTAGAAAAGGGAGCTCTAAAATTTCACTTGAATCCAATAAAATGATGAGACTCTTATGGTTCCTGTCCCAGGTTCTATGCCCCAGGAAGCAAGCTCTGTGATGGAGATTAATGTGCAAGAGGCTTATTGGGGAGTGTTCTTGGGGCCACTACCTGTGGCAGGGAAGTGAAGGAAGTAGGATGGGGTAGAGGGAGAAATTGGGTGGCCAGGCAGTTTTTAAAAGACCCCGCGGATCCTCCACAGAGAGGTCGCTCATTCTGTAAGCACTGCTTACTACCCGCCCTTTGCTTGGCAGTATCTGAAGCCCTCTGGGTGATAGAAAACAAGATAGTTGCTTAGGTCAGGCTTGATAGAGAACTAAACAGAAAAATATCTTGATTAGGAATATTTGAAGACAATAGTGAAGATCTCTTAGGATGGTCATTTGCCAGAAGTTGAAGACTTTATATGTAGTGTCTTTAATTTTATGTAATAATGGTAATATTTACTGAGCACTTGATTTGCACTGAGTGCATTATAGAGTTCTTTGTATCTATTAACTCTTTTAACCCTCACAACAGTCCTTTGAGATAAGTCCTGTTTTAGTCAGTTTTATAGTTGATGAAACTATGATACACAGCATCAATAAATTGCCCGAGATCTCACAGTTGAGTTGTGTCTGGCTGGGAAGCGATTCATGAAAATACAGTGAAGTCACCCTATGCTGTGCTTCCTCTGCATTTTCTGAAATAAGTTTAGAAAAGTCAGTTTTTCCAATTTTGCGACGAAGAACATATTATTTGATAATGATTTTTTGGTAAAGATGACTTCATGAACTACTTCTGATTATATGCTTTATATAAACACAAAATTGGATTTAAAATTAGAATGTGACACATTCTTTTAAATTGTCATATTCTTTATAATTGATGACTGCTTTCTACTTTTTTTTAGCCTTTTTAAACTAAATCTGCACCTTTGTTCATTCGTTCTTGTATTTGTGAACTATACCTGAGTGAGCACAGTATAATAGTAAAAGCAAAATTTTGTTCCATTGTTAGGAGAAAGGCTATAGAAATTACCAGTATTAAATGCAACTTTTTTTTGTTTTGGAAGTTCACCATAGATTCTAGAAATAGGCAAAATAAATAAAATCCCTTGTTTAGTTTATGAAAATGAAAAAACATGGCAAGCATGTTTAATAATTATAAAAATAATTATTTCTCATTTATGGTTGTCCTCATTGGTGAGTTCATCAGCCTAATACATAGCTTTATGAACTTGTCTTATGAGTTTCTAACAATGAGCAATATATTTAAACTTTTATACACGTCTCTGCCCCCAAGCATCAAATTAATAATGTGAATCTAGGGCCGGCCGAGTGGTGCATTGGTTAAGAGCTGGCTTGGAACGCCAGAGGGCCCCGGTTCGGATCCCACATATGAGGGCCAGTGACACTGCCCTCTACAGCTAAGATGCTGAACAACAGCTCAACCTGGAGCTGGGTTGCTGTGAGTCGCGACGACGGCGTAGGCTGCAGCCCCTGCTACAGTGGGTTGCCATGGGCTACCGTGTGTAGCCAGCAGCTGCCGTGAGCGGCCAGAAGCCGCAGTGAGCAGCCGTCCAGAAGCCGGCGACTGATCTGCCTCACCCTGGAGGAGCGCAATGATGGTGCCAGCTTGAGCCAGTGAAGCAACATCCTCCACAACTAGACTGAAGAAAAAAAGGACAGCAACTTGTCTGTTCCCCTTCCCCCAATTCCCCAGCGCTGTTCCTGTCTCCCAATTCCCCAATAAAAATTAAAAAAATAATAATAATAATAATAATAATAATAATGTGAATCTATACTATGCTGAGATTAATGTCTTATCCTTTTCCTAGGTTCATTTTATGTGCTTGCTTTGGAGGCCTGTAATTGACTCCTGTAACTTTATTATGTATCAGAATGACTGGTAAAAAGCAAACCTTCAAAATTACATGTTTTTTAAAATATATTCACATATATGTTTAAAATATATTGACATATATGTTCATAGTTTAGTTTAAAATATATTTACATATATATTTATTCAAACATTTTTGATCATCTGTTATTCATGAAGCTTACATTCTAGTGGGGAGAGAAAGGTGATAAATAACTAAAACATACAATTTATCAGAGGTATTGAGGGTGGGGGTGGTGGTAGTGGTAAAGTTCCAGAAAGAAAAGTGAGGGCTCTGGGATGGCTACAGATGGAAGCAGTTTAAAGTAGGTAAAGGAAGGCCTCATTGGTGAGACATTTGAGCCAATGCTGAAGGATGTGAGCAAGTGCACCTTTTGCGTCTTGGTCTGGGCTTAAAATTGTTGGGCATTTAAATCCTAATAGAAATGTGGGTAGATTCATTTTCTCAACTATCTGTGTCGTTACTTATATGCTAATTGTTTTCAATAAATCATGTCAGAGGGCTTTGTAAAATGCAGTGTATATGCCAAACAAATGTATGCTGTTTTTATGTCTAATTGTCATTTTTCTGACGTGTGAGACCAATTTTGGTTTGCTTAGGATAGGGAAGCTTGTTGAAAGTAAAGAATATATACCTGTTATTTAATATTTTTCCTTAAAACCTTATAAAGAATTCTCTAAACGATACATGAACACAGTTCATTTATATATAAGAACCTTTTGATTTGGTCAAGATAAATTTTGAGAAAATTTACTCTACTTCATGAGAACATTTAACGTTCTAATCAGATATTCGATTATTTCCTAGATGAAAAAGAAGAAGGTATCTTGGGAAGCATACTGTTGCCTAGTTTTCAAATTGCTATGCTTACCTCTGAGGATCACATTAATCGCAAATATGCTTTTAAGGTAAGGAAATAGTTATACTTTTTTACTCCGCATTTGAATCTTGCATTAATTAAAAAATTGATATTGACCCGTAGATTATTACAAAAAGATATTTCAATTACCCTCATTTTTATATTTAAAATATATTAATGAATAGTGTTATGGTTGAGTAGGGGAGTGTCCCTTTACTTAGGAAGCACATGCTCAGATATTTAAGGGTATGTTTTTATGTCTATAATACTTTCAAATGGTTCTAGATAAAGCAAATATGTTAAAATGCTAATAATTGGTAGATATAGCTGTAGGTGTCCTGGTGGTCATTTTACTATTTTTTTAAGGTTACTATATGTTGGAATTTTTTAAATATAAAATGAGGGAGGAGAGTACTATAAGAGACAACTTAGTTTATTAATATTTGTATGTGTATTTATGGTCTTATAGAATATTTGCAGAGATTTTTTTGGTTCTAAGTACATCATGAACATCAGGTACTTTTGAGAGAATATTGAAGTTAAGACATAAACTTATTAAATCTAAGCAAACCTGAGCACTCACCCTTTCCCTAACAATACCCACCCATCTCAGTTATATGCTGGTTTGTGGAACACTCTCAAATAAGAAGCCACTTTAACGCTAAGTTGGCTAGTTTTTGTTTTCGAAACCCATGCAGTTTTCTTTGCTTTATGATATGGCTGAAATAAATTTCAGAGGTCAACTTATTTTTTTAAGTCAGTTTTAAATTAAGAACTCCTAAGGGTTTAATGTAAATTTTTCATTTAAAGGGAAAGGGGAATTAAGGGTCACATGCTGTTATTTAGCAATGAAAATGTTTATACCATTATAAAATTGATTTAATTTTTAATTCCCATCTACTTTTAAGAATACTCAGGACTGTGTCTGATGTACAACTTTTGCTAATTAACATGTTACATTATTAGTTATGGAGAAGAAAGAGCAGGAAAGGGGAAAGGTGGGGTTGATGGATGGTCTCAATGTGATGGTGATAGCTCAGCAAAAACCTCCAGTTAAGAGGGGAAAGCTTTATTATTGCAATGCATGTCATTAACAGTGTGAACCAGAGAAACAATGAAATATTTTAAGATGTTATAACAAAGTTTAATGCTGATAACTTAAAACAATAACCTTATAAAGTATGCGTGTAGAACTGTGATACTAACACTGTTATATGGCCATGGGTTTAAAGTTTTTTGTTTGCTCATCTATTTAGCAAACGTTTATTGAATTTGTATTATTCATAGGACATTTTGCTGGGTTCTTAGACTCTTAAAAAACAATACTAGTATGTTAAAAGCAATAAAAGTGTGCATGTTAAGTGTATTTTCTCTGTGATTACTTGATTTAATTTCGATTTTATTTTATCTAACAAAGATAGTAATTTCTGTTTCAAATTCTCTCTTCTGCGATGTTGTTCCTTTGAATTTATGAGCCACTTTTACTACCAAGGCTGTTGACATTGATGCTACTGCTTTTCACAATGGTGAGTAGAAATTCATAGACAATTATTGAGCACAACCCTGGAACGTAAAGCTAGAAAGGGATCTTGGCCATCCGCTTAGTCAATATTCCCCTTTGACAGATGGCAAGCGTGAGTGTGGCTTGTTAGTGTCTCCAACATGGCTCCAACTGGATCTTCTCAGCATCAGTGTTCCTTCCATGGATCTCAGATGTGGACAGCGGTCTTGATTCATTCCTCCAAAACCCCACTCACACAGTCCAGTGACACTTCAATCATTCTAACAACATGTGGTTTTAATCATTTTAACAACATGTACCGTTTGAGCTGTTTCTTTTGAATTGTTTCCATAGACAGCTTTATATCTTTTACACGGTCAAGTATGATTTGTTGGTGATCTAGTTATTTTGGATCACTGTGTTTATTGAATTGATTTCTATCCTGATTCTTTCTGGGAAAGATTTTGAAGATACTAGTTTGACATTGTAGATAAAGCAGGTAGTCGGGATGTTGGGGTCAAGTATGTGGCTCCAGCTTTATTCTTCTCATCTTTTTATGTTTAGCAGACTAACGACATACTTAGTATTGTTCCCTTTACCTCAGTCTGAGCTGAAAGAGCCTTTGTTTATTTTCCCTTGTATTTTAGTGTAAATAGGAAACTGTCACAAGCATTCTCTTTTTTTTTTTAATTTTATTAAATTTATTCGGGTGACATTGGTTAATAAAATTATATAGGTTTCAAGTGTACAGTTTTATAATACATCATCTGTACATTGCATTATGTGTTCACTACCCAAAGTCATGTCTCTTTCCGTCACCGTATATTTGACCCCCCTTACCCTTTTCTCCTGATCCCCGAGGCTTTTTTCTTTTTTTTTTCTTCTTTTCTATTTTGACACAGTTACTGCTGCAGCCCTTCTCTGCCTGGTCAGCCCATGGGTCAAGCTCAGTGCTTAGTGCTTACACTTCGGGTAACAGTTTCACCAGCCTCTTCTTCATTTTGTTTTTCTCTGTTTCTCTGGAATAGAGACAGATTGAACCATCATAAAGAAAGAAACCTACTTCTTACTTGCATGGGCCTTCTTCAAACCCAAAATATTTACATTTAACTCTGAAATTTGAGAATAAAAGTTAAAAGGAAATACCATTTTGGATTATTTATAAATCTTTTATGATTGTGTATTGGTGTCTATCAGGATTAGACAAATGCTTTCACAGCATCGGTTGAGGACTAAAGAAGGATGCAAAGGGGAAATATTATGATATGTACATTTCGATTAATTTTGTTGCTGGTTGCTCTGGAACGTTCTTGAATAAAGTGGTACGTGGAAATTGCTAGGGATTTGTACAATGAACAGGCATGACTAAGTGCTTCATTTCTTACTCCCTCACCTTCCCATTCACTTCTATTAATTTTTAAAGAAAAACCATAAAGTTAGGAGAAAAAATTCTAATACTTACATTTCTCAGCATTGAATTGTATCTTTCTTAAGGCATTCATTTCTGTATCTGAATATAAGACAAGTCTGCTTTCTTTTGAAATTTGATAGTAATGATATGTGCAGGGAAATACTTAACTTTTTTTTTTTTTTTCCTTTTACAGATCCCATATTCCTATTCAAAATGGTCGTATCATTTTCAATCAGGCAGCCCATCCAAATATGCGGACCTATTATTTCTGCACTGATACAGGAAAGGAGATGGAGTTGTGGATGAAAGCCATGTTAGATGCTGCCCTGGTACAGACAGAACCTGTGAAAAGGTAAAAGCTTGTAGGGAAAGTAATGGTGATTTCCACTTACATTTTATTCCATGCCTTTCAAGTATGCCATTATCATAGTACATATCATTTTAGTAGTCAGGATAGGAAGTCATTCTTCCTCAGAAAGCAAGGATTAATTTAGTTTTATATTAAATAACACACCTTTAGTTAGATTGAGCTACTGCCTGCATTTTTATTCCACCTTTCCTCTTCATTCATTTTCACCTATCAGTGTACTGAGGTGAATCCGGAATCCTAACATTCAAACTGAATGTTCTTTCTTCTTACAGAATTACCTTTAATTTCCGGTAAGTACATTTTTCATTGTTATCTTAAAACCACATAATAATAGTGTTTTTTAAGGTCCTAAGTCTTAATATTTATATTCATGAAGTGAATTTCATTGTTTTTAAAATTATATTGTATGTTTCTGAAGTTTAATAAATTGAAATAAAATTTCGTGATGAGTTTTATTTCTTCAGCACTTCCTGGTTAATTCTGATTGTTTTATGATGGATGTTTCCAGAAAATAATAGATCAAGCATTTAGGTTATTTTTAAATATATCTATTTCTTGATGAATTCTACCTTCTTTCTTCTGAAACTCCAGTTATCAGATTCCTTGATAATATAAATATGTACTGTTAAAATTGATCTGTGTGATTTTTTTTTTCCCTGCTTGAACATATGAATCATTTTAATATTCAGCTATATTAAGAACTGGTGAGAGGAAATCTGTTTCTAAAGCTATGTAAATAGCAGCTGAATAATGTGCTTTAAAAAGATTTCTTATATTCCTTTAATTTAAAGAAAGATTTATGATGCAGTTAAATTTTTTTTACCAGTCAGCGATAATTGAGCGTATGTCTTATATAAGGAAGATGCTAACTTGCAAGTTTGGCCTTTTTTGTCTCTTCTCAGGGAATTAGGAGATTGTTACAATATAAATCTTTAGTCATTTTTTTAGTATGCATATAAAGTCTTATGACTTATTGATTAAAAGATTTAAGTTGATGCTATATATTTCTTCTTTTTTTTTAATATCAAGTTCAAAGCAACTTAACCAATCAGTAGTAATTCAGCTAGGGGAAAGTATGGAGAAAAAAGAAAATTCTAGGACACCTATTTTTTAAGAAAAACTACCTCAACCATATGCATATTCTAGGTTCAGAGCTAATAAAAGGAAAATCTGCTTTTGGAATTCCATATGTAAAAATGACTGGAATGGACATAACAGTGAGGTTGGTTGCTAGAGAAAATATGTAGGTGAAAGGAATTAATTCAAAATATTAAAATAATTTTAATTTCAAAGTAAAATTTTTAGGAAATTATTTAGAATACAAAAATGAGTATAATTTCAATATTGTATATTGTACTTATCTCAGAATTTCAACTTACTCTCATTTTCTTTTCTTATACTTTCTACTCTAAAAATTAATAATCATTCATAATTGAGGGTGATAAAGATGACAGAGTCAGTAGTTTGGTTTGACTTTTGACAGCCTGTTAATTAATTATGTACCCGTAACAATTTGTAACCACTTGTGTGTTGATATTTTTTCTTGGTTAGCCAGGAATTATTGAATACTATCTACCGTATTTCCCCATGTATAAGACGCTTCCGTGTATAAGACAAACCTTAATTTTGGGGCCCAAAATTTGGGGGGGGATAATGTATTACATAAAGTATTGAACTCAAGTTTTATTCATCATAAAATTCATACAACTCCTCATCACTTGTGGGAAATGTAAGTAAAAAAAATCTACAACCACTGTATAAGACGCACCCAGTTTTTAGACCCCAAATTTTTCGAAAAAGGGTGCGTCTTATACATGGGGAAATAACGGCATGTGCCCAGCCTGGTGTGAGTCACCATTATCCAGTAGAAATGACTTATTTTATTCTACTTCTAACTGTCACATTTTAATTTTGATTATTCAAATTGAAGGTACCTAATTATCGTACTATTTCATTTCAGAAGTATAGGGAGATTTTCTTTGCTTATTTTTAGGATAATAGATAGGTTCTCTTTCCTGTGTGGAATACTTACAAATATGAAGAAGAAGAAGAAGAATACTTACAAATATGAATCAGGGCATGATCACCTAAACAGATAACACATCTAGTTTTTAACTAGATAGTTCATTTCTTCTAAAGTCATAAAGTATTTAATAATCTGTTTAATACAATATCATAGTCCGCTAGTTTACAGATCATTGATGGCATAAAACAATCTAAGCATAATATATTCTCTGAATAATTTCCATGTTTAGGCCCATTATTTTCATTTTCTATATTTCCATGTATCTTCTGCAATAACCTAAATGTCACTTTTGAAAATTAGATCACTAGTTTTACATTTATGTTATTTTAGAGTACATTTCTGAATCCATTTTACTCCACTTAGAGAAAGTCAGCATGTGTCTTTTTTATTACATTTATTAAATGATAAATTTTTGGAAAAAATAAAGAGAAAAACAGGCAATGCAGTTCTAATTTAAAATATAGCTTTAGGTAGACTAGATGTGACTAAGTTTAAAAAATCTTTTCCGGTATTTGATTTTCAATGTTAAAATTCCCTCCCCCCTTCCGAATTGCACTTTTAGTGTAAGTCTTCTCTGACTTTTATCTTTCAAGGAAAAGGAGCTTCATAGCCCCTCTTAGTAAACTTTGCCAATATCTGATATCGCTTCCAGCCTAGGTGCTGTAAGTTATATGTCAAACCTAAATGGATAGTTCATAACTTTACTCCAAGAAAAACAATCACATTTCATTTTTTTCCTCACTCATCATATTCCAAACTACCTATAGCTGTATGTGTATGGATTACCTATTGTCTACACATCACTGAAACTAGCAGCAATGATACACTGAGATTCCGATCGAGCATTATTATGTATTGAAATTTGGCCAGTTCCTGAGAGGCTTCCCAGCATGGCTTGCTCTTGGCAGTTTCATGCAGGTTCAGACACTCAGCTTGGTCTTGTCAGAACCTGGAGGTGACTGGTCTCAGGGCTGCTGATGCTCTTCAAAAAGACCTAGACATAGCAACTGGAATGGTGAGAGTAAAACTGTCCAATGGTCCAGACACACTGTTAAGCGGCACCTTCTTCTGGTGAGAGATGGACATGGGGTACCAGATTCTAATTCAAAATTGTTTGATGAGATTGAGTGATAGTGTAACAAAGTCTGGCAGCTACTGACTTACTCATCTGGTCATCACAACATCCTGTAACTTTGGTGCTACAGTTATCCTCGTTTTCCACAAAGGAGATTGAGGCACACACAGTAAATTTCTACTCTTTGCCCAAAGACAGACAGACGCAGCTAATAAGAGGTAGAGCTGGAAGCTGAATACGTTCAGTCTGGCTCCAAGAGCTGCTCACTGGAACTCCGGTCTGCTTGAATACAAACAGAGTTAGTCAGTCATATGGTTCAGATCTTTGACAGTCCAGACTGTAATTTCCTGGTGAAGCCATTTCCACAAACCAGACTCATGTTTCTTTCATGATATGTGAACCCTCCTAGCTGGAAGCCATTTTGTTTATTTCATATGACTAGATGCTGCGGTTCTTTAAGCGTGGATTTTGTGGTTTCGCTGTCAAAAGGCAGTCTTATTTGCTTTAGATCCACATTTCTAATGGTGAGATACTCATCACTTTTTGTCTTCCAGTGCTTTATATACTGTATGGTTTTTCCCCCCCTTTCTATATATACATCGTAGCTTTGTGCTTGAATTTTCATACCACAACATTGGGGATTTGTGCAGGCTTGTCCTCTGTGACCCTTTCAGTTTTTTCGTAAAGTCAAAGGTAATTTTACATTTTTCCTAGATTGAATCCCAGAAATAACATGTGCATTATTTCATCTGATTTACTATGCTTTCCTTCTCTGATTTCAGAGTGGACAAGATTACATCTGAAAATGCACCAGCTAAAGAAATCAATAACTTTCCCAACCATAGAGTGCTAATTAAACCAGAGGCCCAAAATAACCAGAAAAACAAGGAAATAAGCAAAAATGAAGAAAAAAAGGCATTAGAAGCTGAAAAATACGGGTTTCAGAAGGATGGTCAAGATAGACCTTTAACAAAAATTAATAGTGTAAAGTTGAATTCTCTGCCATCTGAATATGAGAGTGCATCAACATGCCAGGCTCAAGCTGGACACTACAGGCCAGTCAATGTGAATAGTTCAGAGAACAAAACAGTCAATGTTAGCCTGGCAGACCTTAGAGGTGGAACTCACCCAAGCACAGGGCCCCCACAAACAGAGGCTGATCGAGTCATACAGAGAACCAATTCAATGCAACAGTTGGAACAGTGGATTAAAATCCAGAAGGGAAGGGGTCATGAAGAAGAAACCAGGGGGTAAGTATCTTGTTCTGTGTTACGAACCGGGTTTCTTTCATGCTATGTTTATGGAGATTGGTTTCTGAGATGCCAACTACAAATATTAGTTTAAATTGTGATTTAGATATTACACTTTCATTACTATATCTGTTTTTCATAGAAATCATTACTGTAAGTGGTTTTTCTCTGTCTCCCATTGTTCTGTCATCCAATTGCACTAATAATGGCCAGGAGTCATTGTCCCTTGGCCCAGCACAAGAGAATTCTTAGGTTGTGGGTAGAGATCATGTTTGCTTGGGATGAGGAAAGGAGCGAGACCTATCCCTACCCCTTTCTTCCTCCCTGGCCTGACTGTCTTCTGTCAGTAACCTGTGCTGCGTGATGCAATGCACAGATCTCCTGAGACCAGTGATGTGGAGACAGTAAAGGCTTGTTGTGTTCGCTAGTTCTCCTGCTCGTTACCTGGCTTTCCTAACTCGTAATACATATGACTAAGCCTTATTTTCATTCATCTAAGCATTTAGCCACTCATGCACACCTTGTTTTTTTCATATATATTTAATGCGTAACTACTATGTGCTAATCATGGGGCCAGAAATTAAACTAATGAAAAGGTATAGTCCAGATTTCTCACAGAAGTTCTTATCTAGTGGAGGAGAAAGTAAAATAAACAGGTGCTGTGTATTGTGACAAAGGCAATGAAGGAGGAAGAGGATGCTATAAGGACAGGTTTCAGGGACAACCAGCTCAATCTAAGGGGTCAGGAAAACCTTTCTGGAGGAAGTGAATGCAGGTGAGCTATAAAGGATGGTTACTAACGCTCATCTTGATGTAGAGATGCAGGACTCCGGAGTGGACAGAGAACAGGGAAGAGAGTCCAAAGACATCTAGTATGGCTTAGGTTTAACTGCTGTAATGCTGGATGAGAGTGTTCAGATCCGTGTTTCAGAAAGGTCCCTGGCTGCACAATCGGGAGTGAATGAAATGGGAGGGAGGGGATATGCAGTCAAGATAATTGACAAGCCTTGTTTGAGTGACTGGGGGAAAATCAAGAATGATGCCCTCCTTTAGGGCCTGGTCATCAAGGGTTGTCTGTTGCCTTTTACTACATAGAAAAGATTTGGGGGAAGAGAAGGTAATGCATGACTGAATAGGTTAAATTTGAGGTGCCAGTAGTCAGTATCCCCAAAGAGAGATCTGGACTTGAATAAGATTGCAGCATCCTTATATATCACAATTACTTAAAGGAAAGGATGAGAGTAGATAAATTCATTCAGCGAGAAGCTGGATAAAATAAAACTTCTAAAGGAAAAACTGAAGGAACATTTTCATTTAAGGAAAAAAAGGAATAGGAGAGTATGCAAAGGAGACCAAAATAAAGGCCAGAGAAGATGGAAAGCAGGCACCGTGGGATGAGAAGAAGTGTTCTGTCATTAGTTGGGAGTTTGATGGTGCAAAATTTAAAAAGTGGTTTAATGTGGTGGTGTATGTACATAAAAATTAACTGAACAATTATTGGAACTCTTACCTTTCAGTAATAGAAAACCAGGAAACAATGATGTTAATGATGTTTTGATGAAATGCAGGTTTAACTTTTTTTAATAGTGAAACTTCTGAGGTATAGGAAGGTTCTTCCAGCTTGCTCAGGTCGTGCCTGCCACCTGCCACATCCAGCCAAAGTTTCTTCTTTCAGCAATCCAGCTCCAAAGCCTGAGCACACTTAGCTTCATCTTTTGTCATCTCAACAAGGCTGCAAAAACGTTCTCCTGTGCTGTGTTGTTCACATTCATATTCTTCTTTTCCACCCTTAGCACTCACTTTTCTAATTTTCCCAAGGGAGAATCGTGAGAAATATTTGCTATTTCAAAAATAAACTTTAATTAGACAGAAGAGAAGCCAGAGGGTTAGGGGAGGGGGTGGAGGGGGAATGAAAGGATGTTTGGAAATACTTACTAAGGGAGTAATCATTTTCAGGGAGACAGTAATAAAAAAATCCCAGCCAGAAGACGTACTGAATCGGTACCCAGCAAGGTAAATCTCACTTCTTAGTGGGTCACTTTCCTTCAAGTAAAATCATACTTTCTTAAGGTTGGAAGTATATAGTTAAAAGGGTTCAACAAGTATCAGGAAGATAGTTTTAAAATTGTTCAGCATAAATATTAGTTCCCAAGCACTTTTAGGTCCCTTGGTTAGGTCACTTTTAGGTTAGGGTGTAATTAACATATATAAACACTGCGGTGACTTTTTTCTAATGAGCACAAAAGGCTGGTCTCAGGTGATTCTGAGCTAAAGTCTTCTCTGCGTTCCTCCTTCAACTTTGGGTTCACTGGCCAGCGTCCAGTTTGGATCACGGAGATGTATCATCTGCATTATTGTATAAACATCATACTGGACAAATAGTTGTGATATTTAATAATGAAATCATTTTTATTGGAGGAAAGACACATAATGGCAATTCGTGGTGTAATTCATTTGGTAGAACTTTATGAAAGGCTTGCTTTTATTATTAAAGTGCTGCTGGAAAGAGAACAGGTTTAATACGTAGTCACATAGTAGACCCCTGCATCTGTGAGCAGAGCTTTCCCGTTGCTTTGTGAGTGGCAGGCGCTGTTAAGATGCATAGTGCCTGAAGCCATTGTTCTGCATGGCGGAATCACAGGGACAGGTTTTCATGGTGCCTGACAGGCAGCTGCTGGTGAATGGTGCGCCAAACCTGATGAAGGAGCTTACAGTGTTCATTTCTTAAGCTTTCGCTTACAACTAAATCACACTTTTGCTTAATTTGAATTTCTTTGCAGAAAACCCCTGAAGGAAACTAGTTTTAAAAAAAACAGAGCTCAAAACCACGAAAAAGTATATGGGATTAAAATAACCTTACTTAATAAATAACCTAATTTTCTATTAAAATTTTTTAAAAGTCGTCCAAAGATGGCAGAAGAGCCTTTTAAACTTTATAGCCATTAGTTAATCAAGCTTTGTAGAAAAACAGCCTGTGTTAATGATCATGATGGGATTCTGGTTCAAGTTCAGTATACATCTCTACAGCAGGGTCTAGCTCACATGTTATGAACGCCTCAGAGCACTGACATAAGGGGCTTTATGTAATTATATTTTCTGAACTGGAATTTAAACATTTGTTTTTAGGCAGTATTTAGTGTGTATTAGATTGACAATGTATACCCCTTCCTTATGATTATAAATGACCTTTTCACATATTTCTAAACTAGCTATACAGTTAATGTCACTTATATTTTCAGTGTGTGCTTTTGTGATCTAGTTCAGCACCTAATCCAGAGCCTTTTGCATATTGAGGTCAGTCTAGTATTTCTTGAATTTATAAACGATCAAATAAACCAAGGTGTGTTGGGGTAGATTGCTTTAGTACGAGGGCAGAACTGCTTAGATGAAATCAGCTTTCTCTGCCTGACACGCTTCCTAAGCAGATAGCCATGGGCTTGCCAGCTCGAGGTTTCCCAGTTTGTAGCTTTCATGTTAACAGAGACGATGGGGATAGTGAGGAAGACGAAGCCAAGCAGAGGGGAAGTGGGAAATATACATGGAGGGAAAGCAGCGAAGAACTCATCTCTTTATACTGGTTCTGTCAGAGTGTTAGGTCCTCTTCTCCATCACTTCAGCCCCAGAGTCATCAGATGGTTGGCCTCGCTGCGGTGGTTCTTGCCTAGGAGGAGTTGGTTGAATTTTTAGCAGGCCTGTTTTGAGCAGACACTGAAAAGCTGAAGAACAACCGCATCATGAAGGAAATTTAGTTTAGGGGGGAAGGTTGAAGGAATTGGAAGTCTTTTAAATACAGAATATGACATGGGATTTTAGAGCTGTGACATAACTTCGTGGTCAAATCATTGTCTAGATGAGAAAACCAAATCTCAGAAATCAGTTGGCCAGGTTTAGGTGGCATGTGAAGGACTCTGGAGAATGTCCTTCCTGATTTGGGGGTGTCTTTTTATTTTTAATTAAATCATTGCCATCAAAAAGGTTTTTTCTTTAATGATTTCCATACTTTTGGCAAAAATTTTAAAATAGAAGGATTGTTGTACTTTTTCATTAAATCTAGAAGCCTGGGAAGCATTGGCATGATGAAGAGTGCTGCATAAAGAAGGCAGAGGTCTGCATTCTAGTTCTAGCTGGTCTAGTCACACCCTTTCCTCACCACCCTTTTCTCTCTCTCTCTCTCTCTCTCTCTCTCTCTCTCTCTCTCTCTCTCTCTCTCTCTCTCTCTCTCTCTCTCTCTCTCTCTCCCCCCCTCCCTCCCTCCCTCCTTCCCTCCTCCTCCCCCCAGGAGACATAAGTAATTCATATGAGGCCTCCGTACTTAATAGGAAAGCAAGAAACAAAACTTGGCCCTCAGCTGCTTTTTCCTATTTCTCTCTTTTTCTACTGTATTTTTCTGTATTTTTCACAGCCTTATCCCCTCTGGGTGCTTTAAGCCACAAAAAAGGTGTATTTAACATGAGACTTTTTTTGGTTTGTAGAATAATAACAGTTTTACTTCCCCAGTAGACACAGATTTGCGGGGATTTTTATTATGACCATGCCTCATAGCCCAGGGTGCACCCAATTCAATACACCTTATCACAATGAAATTTTTTTTCTTGTACCTTAGTGTTTATATATTGTTACTGACAATAAGTCTTTGAGTCAAAAGAGAGCTCTGTCATCCAGGTTATCAGCCAAGGATTCTCAGATGTACTAAGAGTATGGTTAAGTAAATTACATATCAAATTAGACATGGGACTCCTTCTGGTCCATATAGTCATGAACATGTTTGACATTTTGACACCCAATAGAAGGCAGCAAAATATTGTGTAATTATGCATGCCCGATTCCAAAATACACTCTATGGTGGAAATACCGTAAGCAGGGGGAAGGTGTTAACTAAACATTGAAAGAAGAGGTGAGGTAAGGAAACCTGAGTTAACGGGGTCCTAACTCTCCCATGTGCTTGGTTCATTGAATTACATTTGATATTAGCATGTAAATTTATGCCAATGGAGATGGTGGCATAATACATACTTATAATATTGTTCTTTTTAATCTAGATTTTATTTTGGTTATTGTTATTAAAAGATTGTGCTTGCCTTTAAAATTTGAATTGTAATTATACCTTATACCTACCTCTAGAGATAATGGGGAAACAAATGCTAACTTTATCTAGAATTTTTTTTTTAATTGCGGAATTGGGGAGATGGGTACAGTGCTGGGGAATTGGGGAAAGGGGAACAGACAAGTTGCTGTCCTTTTGTTCTTCAGTCTAGTTGTGGAGGACGTTGCTTCACTGGCCCAAGTTGGCACCATCACTGCGCTCCTCCCGGCAAGGCACGTCAGTCGCCGGCTTCTGGACGGCCGCTCACTCTGGCTGCTGGCCGCTCACGCTGGCTGCTGGCTACACATGGTAGCCCATGGCAACCCACTGCCACAGGGGCTGCAGCCTACGCCGTCACCGGCGACCCACGGCAGCCCAGCTCCAGGTTGTTCAGCATCTTAGCTGTGGAGGGCAGTGTCACTGGCCCTCATATGTGGGATCCAAACCGGGGCCCTCTGGCGTCCCAAGCCAGTTTTTAACCATCACGCCACTCGGCCGGCCCTTTATCTAGAATTTTTAACTGACTTTTACAAATCTTTTTCATGTAATATATCTGACCTAGTATGAGATTAATATAAGGATTTTTTGATAAACTCAAAAGAGTGTTTTTATCAAAGTGTCTTTTTTAAAAATTGTAAACTGAAATTTTATTTTATTCTTTCCTTTTAAGAAACTAAAATGATCTGTGCTTAGTAATATGCTAGTATGTATCCATATCCAGAAATTTAGCATTTTATAAGAACTTTATTTTGGATATTTAATGTACATAAATTTTTAGATTGCTTTAAAAAGCCCTCCCCCCAAAATGTTGATACCATTCAGGAGATGGAATTTTTAACTTCCATGCCAGAAACACTGTAAAATTTCTGGGATTTGCAGTTTTACATCTGAAATGTTGTCGTGTTTAAGTAATTTGTCTTTAACTTTTGAGCTTTAGCTTTAAGTCATTTTTATATTTCAAGTTAAGAAGAGTTATCAAGGGAAATTATTTCTTCAAACCATAGGTGTGCTGATACACTTCTTCCCTTAAACAGTCGTGCTTTCTGAAGGAAATGGTACAGTAAAGTAGTCATATAGACCTGCAGTACTTCATCTTCTGTCTTCATGTTCTATACGCACAACTCAAAAACTCAGTATGCCATCCACACACAGAAATTCTATTTAACTGTTCTGATGAGATGTATGAGAATGAGATTATAGGAGTTTGTTTATATAAATCAAGTAAGCTGTGGAGACAGACTTACGATTAGATCTTGACTATTCTTAGTTTCTAAAAGGAGTATAATAAGTATTCTTTCTTTTTAAACCAAACTGTACATTGTGTGGCATTAATTATCTTTTATGTAAGTGATATAGATGCTGTTTACTTAAGGTATTAAACCCATCAAATTAAATTTCACAAAGATTAAAACCTGATCAATAGTTTATACCTTGTATAATGTGCAGTATTTTAATATTTTGATATTTTAAAAAATACATCCTAATATATATTTTACTTTCCAGAAGAAGAAAAAAAGTGTACTCTTTAATTTAGAACCTCCCCTTCATTTTTACATTTCGATGATTCTTTCGTTTTAGAGTAATTTCTTACCAAACATTACCAAGAAATATGCCAAGCCACAGGGCACAGGTTGTGGCCCTCTATCCCGAAGGTTATAGAACACTCCCGAGAAACAGCAAGACCAGGCCTGAGAGTATCTGCAGTGTAACCCCTTCCACTCATGATAAAACAGTAGGACCTGGAGCAGAAGAGAAACGGAGATCAATAAGAGACGACACGATGTGGCAGCTCTATGAATGGCAGCAGCGTCGGTTTTATAATAAGCAGAGCACCCTCCCTCGTCATGGTACATTGACCAGCCCGAAAACCATGGTTAATATTTCGGACCAGACAATGCACTCTATTCCCACATCACCCTCCCATGGGTCAATAGCTGCTTATCAGGGATACTCTCCTCAGCGAACCTACAGATCAGAAGTGTCTTCCCCAATTCAGAGAGGAGATGTGACGATAGACCGCAGGCACAGGACTCATCACCCAAAGGTAAGATGTTTGCTAATCTTGTGTTAACTACTACTTTATGGATGCTCTGTTTTCCTTTGAGTACATTATTCTCTTTTAAATGTGAGAGACAAGAACATAGAGAGGAGATAAGCAAGGTAGCTTATCTACCTTGTTTTAAAAATTAAGGACGAATATCCTGCAGTGTCAAAATCTCATGTATAATACCTGAGCTTGCGATGCTTCATCTCTAAGGAGCACAGGAACGGTTCTTTTGAGTAGATGGCATTATACATTCTTCTCTGCTTCATAGCATATCTCATCAGCTTTCCATGCAGGTTAAGGCCACATGCAATTGTTTTTGGCTCTTCATTCACTTGCAAATTCTACATCTGCCCTTTCTAGCATACCTGCAGTCTTGCATTAAGCTCATCCTGTTCTTGACTAAGATAGAAATACCTGCCTCATCTTCTAACCAGCTGAATATATGGCATATTGAAATATCTTCTTAGATACCCGATTTAATATTAGAGTGACAATGCTTACTGGTATATATACTTTTAACAAATTAAGGTTCAGAGAGAGATCGTGGTTGTTTGTTTTTTACCTGAGCCATCCTGCCACCTGTTGGCAGCTCAGCGGCAGCTCAGCTCGGGCTGGGCCAGGAATCAAACCGCTAGTTGTTCAGAGATCGCACTCTTGAGCGTGCTCTTAACCAACTGAGCCACTCGGCTGGTCCCTTAGAGATCATGTTTTAATGTGTACCTTAATTTAGTTTAAGTGTTGCTTAGTAGGTTATTGGAAGTGAATTCCCAGTGCTTTGTATCAGTCAGCTTTTCATCATGCCAAAGTGGTTGTTTTGATCAGACACCTGTGTATACAGCCAGCTCTCTAATGTCTATTCGAAAGTGAAAAGGAATTGTCCCGTCATTTTCTTTTTAATTCCAAAGAATTTCTTGCTTTATACCATTACCACATGCACTTGTTCTTAACCTTGTGACAGGCTGAATCCTTCACTTACATCATCGTGTAAAGCATTTGCTTGATTTTTCAACCAATAATTTTCTTTTGGAGGGGTGGCTCACTTTGAACTTTCTTGTAACAAAGTTCATTGCTGTTTGTACATCCAAAGGCTAAATCGTGTTTGATAAACATAGTAACAATATTCAAGAGAAATCTGATCAAATACATCTTTGTAGTGTGTGGTTGAAAGATGTTCTCATGGTTATTAGTATTTTTCATATTGGCCAAAATTTATCTGTTTCAACAATAAATATGAGATGAATATATGTTCTCTGTCAAGCTCCTGTTTTAACTCCTCCTTCCAAAAAACTTCCCCAACACTGCCAAATTTTTCTTTCAAACTGTCTTATCATCTTGATGTGATCAGTGATTCTCAGAGTATGGTCCATGGACTTCCTGGGGGGCATCTCTGAGAGTCCCCATGATGCTTTCAGGGAGTCTGTTAGTAAGCTCAAAGCCATTTTTATAATAATAACAACAACAACAATAAAGAGGTATTATTTCTTGTGTTACCATTTTCTAATAGTGCAAAAGCAATGGGGTATAAAAGCACCGGTACCTTAGCATAAATCAAAGGAGTGGCTTCAAACCGTGCTAGAAGTCATTGTGTGCTTCACTGCCACATACTTGCAATAAAAATAAGTAAAGGAACACTTTCACTTAAAAGGAGCAGTTTCACTTAAGAATCCCTTTGATGAAACAGTAAAGGATATTTTTATCATTTTACTATTCTGTGTGATGGCATGGGAAATATACTTCAAGCATTTCTATTGCATACTAAAGTACTAGTGGTTGTCTCCCAGAAAAACACTCGCATGAGTATTTGAGTTGCAAGCTGAACTAGCTGCTTTTTTCCTGAAACACCATTTTTACTTGAAAGTACGAGTGACAGACAAACTATAGTTGTTCAGACTTGGTATCTGACAGACACATCTCAAAGTGAAATGTTAGCCTGTCACTTCAAGGAAAAGAGCTGACAGTATTTGTCGCTGATTACAACATTTGAGTCTCCGAGCACAAATGAGAATTTTGAAAATCTTGTTTCTGCCACAGTGAGCTTGACAGCTTTCCAGTGCTTAAAGATCAGCGGTGGTATTAAAATGTGAGTTACTAATATTGTATATTGATCTGTGTCAACATTGCGAACATCTGCATGATTCACTGAACCAATACTTTCCACATGGACGATGTTCGATAATATAGAATCACTTAAAGCGCAAGTACACTAATAAATGCTGCTGTAAAACGTTCATCGATATGGTTACAGATACCCTTTTGCAACTAACCTCTGAGAAAATACCACTTTTTGAGCTTTGGTGCAATATAAAAGATGGATATCTACAATTATCCAAAAAAGCTATTAAAGTTCTTTCCTTATCAGTGTATTTATCGAGGGTGGATTTTCTTCATGTACTTCCACTAAAAGAGATTATCACAATGGATTGAATACAGAAGCAGATATGAAATCTAGCCAAAGCATTAGAGATTTGCAAAACTGTCAAACAATACCACTCTAGTCACTAAATTTTCTTTTTAAGAATACACAGGGGTCCTGAGACCAATAAGTTTCAGAGCCACTGAGCCAGACTATATCGAGTTACTCAGTTCATCAGCATCTGTATTCCCATCAAGAAGTTTTAGCATCTACCTTCTTTCATAAGCACTAACAGCAATTTTTAAATGGTATTTTACAGTCTGAATTTAAGATTTGTCATCACTGACGTTGACCACACAATTTGTATTGTTTTTTTATTTTCCTAGCATGTTTATGTGCCTGACAGGAGGTCAATGCCAGCTGGCCTAACTTTACAGTCTGTTAATCCCCAGAACCTCCAAGGCAAAACGGTGAGTGCGATACCTTTATTTACCATACCATGTTTTATTTATGTGCTACACATGATAGCACATATCTGACATAGCTCTTAAGTTTGAATTTTTAGAGCAGTGCCCCGCAAAGAAAAACCATTACTGTTTTTGTGGAAGAGATGCTCATCAGAATAATTTGGAATCATGTAGCCATTTTAGAATCTTATTGGATACATCTCCCTAAATATCTGATTGCCTAAATATAAGATTATATTTTCAAGGTTTATTGTATAACCTGGGTGTGTTTCTTTACTTCATTGGATGTGAATTCCGTCATTCTTAAAACAGAAGTTGGAGTAGTTATCAGCAGAACAAATCCAGCAAGCAACCAAGTATAGTCAAGCTACAATCCTATTAAGAAGTTTTTCCGGTGGATTCTTAGATTAACTACTTTAGAGTGGAAAAGAAACTGATTTACATATTTATGCAGAAAAAGAGAGACTATAAAAACACTTAACCATTATAATTTCATTCTCAGTGTTGTGGTCAAATTGGGAGGGAGTTATATTACCAGGACACTGTTATTCTTCAAATTAAAGAGAAAAAATGACCTTTCATCACTTCATTTTATTTATTTACTCAGCTTGGGCTGGGAATCGAACTGCTGTTGGTGCGAGCTCTTAACCAACTGGGCCGCTTGGCCGGCCCACTTCCTTTTATTTTAATGGCATTCTTTTGTCAGGGAAACTAGGCTTTAATGTCAGTAGGTAGTTTCACTTTCTGTGAAGATGTGATTTGAGGACAGATGTAGTTTTTCCTTGCTTAAAAAAACACTCTTCTCGCAGTAATAAAAAAAAATAGTTCATCTTATATGTATTTTGCAGACATTCTTTTATTTCATTTTTCGTCTTTTACACGCTTAGATATAAGGAAGATTTCCTGGCTTAAAACTACTTGTGACTTATTTATTAAAGGTTACAAACACTGCTTGACTAAAACTAAAAACTTTTAAAAGTTGGAATTTAAAATTTTTAGGCTGTTGATCTGACAAAGAAACAGACATTATTCATAAGATAATGCTAAATACCATACTATGAAATTTTCTCTTCTGCCTTGCTCCCTCTAGTGGATATTTAAGATAAAATGAATTTACCATCTCCTACTTTTTTGGGTGGGGCTGGGGGAGAGAAAGGGTCAAACGTGCCTCTTTTTATTTTGCTTCAAATTTTAAATATAAACTTATTGAATTTTTCACGCTTTTGAAAAACTTTTTTACTTCTTTAATTCCATAAATAATAAACCAGAGTTTCAAGACTTTCTCGTTTGGTATTTCTGTCAGATATCACTCTTGGTCTTAGAATATCTAAATTCCTTACCCCACCCTGCCTTCTCCCTGGACAGAACTCAAGAACTTGATATGATGATCATGAGACATGGACTGTCCCACAGTGATGAGGTCACAAGATGTGGCTGGCATCAGATCAAAAGCAGCCATTCTTTTTCTGTTAGGAAATGTCTTCAGGTCATACACACATTCTTTTGACTATTTAAAAGATTCTTGTCACATCTATATAGATGCTCAGTGTTATCTAAAGAATCCAGTAATAACTGTGATTTATGTCTTGACATTTTTTTTTCTCACCTGAAGGCCAAAGTTTTTAATATAATTTCAAATAATGGTTAAAAGGTTCCCTGGTGGTCTAGTGGTTAGGATTCGGCACTCTCAAATAACAGTTAAAAATTATTTCTGTCCCTAAAACAAAATTGTACTGGGGGGGAAAAAAGGGCAACAGCACGTGAGCAGAACAGAAGAGAGCTAGTGTAATGCTATGGTATAGACAAAACATGTCTCAGGAATGCTTTTTAGCTGGAAGTTTTAAAGAGCACGCTGTAGCCCTAAGTGAGGAGAGCCTCCCTCTGGCCTGTCTGCAGTTTTTAATCATAACAAAGCTCAGAGAAACACCAAGTAATATTTTATGGCCTAGAACACTGCCAACGTCCATACTTCACTGCATTCCTAACGAAGAAAAATGTATCAGAGTGGCCTGTTCAGGAATTCTCTCTACCTGTGAAATTCTCTTCCCCTTAGAGACTATACTAACCAGTCAGGAGCCAGAAGGTTCTGTGCTTTCCCAGAATGTGGAAGGAGGTGTATGCACCCATGGAAACTTTCTGTGTGTAGTAGATGCATTCTTTTTTTTTCTTAAAAAGTCAAAACTGGTCTTTTGGTCGTATAAAATATCCTACGAAAGTGCTGACAGTGGCATTTAAAAATATAGCTAAGAAGCAATTAATAGATTCCAGGTACTGAGTTTAATGATGTAAAGATACCATCCAAGTTTCACATGGATTTTAATTCTTTTTATTTACCTTCGGCTCTGTAGATTGTTGGACATGCCAGTATGTTCTGTTGGTATTAAAGTCTTGGGTGTCATTTTTCTTAAACATCTTATTAAAATATCTCTTAATACCTCTCATGTACAAACCTTTGTTATTCATTGTTTTTTTGTTTTGGCATTGTGTTTTTTTATGATTAACATTTAAATTTCTCTCATGAGTTCTGAGAAAATGCCTTAATTACTGTGGTTTTGCTGTATCTTTTGAAGTAACACTGTTCCTTCTATTTCTCTAGATATCTATGCATTTATGTAGGACCTATCATCATAGTGCCTAGGCACTATGTTTGATGTCAACCATAAGAGAAAACTTGCCAAGAAATCTTGGTTTAATATCTGTCACTTAAGACAACAATTAATCTGTTTTCCACTGTTTGGATTCTTAAATTGTACTCCTTCAGCCAGAGGAGCTTACGCTGCTGCTCATAAAGCTGAGACGGCAGCAAGCTGAACTGAGTAGTATCCGGGAGCATACGTTAGCACAGCTCATGCAGCTAAAGCTTGAGGCCCACAGCCCAAAGGTCAGCTATGAAGAGATTTGTCTGTGTCATCTGCCATTGTCATTTATTTCGAGCCGCTCATTAATCAGCTTGATCAGTGCCATTAGTGTCAAGCATGAGCCCATACCATCATTGCAACAACTTTAGGATCTCCTATTGACCCTTTGAGAATACACTTGTGGATACATGATTAAAGGAAAATACAGGTAGGATGCATTTCTCCTTAGCCTTCCACCCACCCATTCACCTGCCAACTTTTGGTTATGAGGAAGGAAATGCATACAGCCTTCAAAATAATGTTGTCATGTACCAAGTACTGTAACTTCCACATCTGGTGAAACCGATACTGAAAAGTCCTACAATTTCCCATAAAGCAATAAACTGAAAATTGATTATAGTTTTAATAATACTACCTATTAAATGTCAAAGATTAATTTTAAGATATTTCCTTTATTCTTGATTAAAGAGACTGAACGAATGTAAACATTTCTCAAAGGGTTTAATAGCCTCTGATTATATGAGAAATATCCAAAGAAGTAATACCTTATTGCAAAAAAGAATTAATCTGTAAAGCTTCTAACATTGAGTCCGCTAAAGCCATTTAAAGGATTGTTCTGCTTAATATTTCAGTTTATATGCATGTCTATTTAATATCTTATAAAACTAAGTGTAATTTTACAATAATTTATATATGTCGTGTGAACCGATTACAGGGGAGCATGTGTGTGAAAGTTGTCATGTACTGTGATATAATAGGTTGTGGTAAATTACCTGTTTTTCTTATTTCAAAATTGATCTTTTCATGAAATCTGCACCTTCTTTCTCTGCTCCTTTGTTTCTTGATTGATGCCTACTAGAATGAAATTCTTTCACATCATCTTCAAAGGAACACCATATATTTGGATCATCAGGTGGGATTTGTAGAATTTTCTTACATATAATATCTAATAGAACTCTTTAAATGTAGTACAGTTTTTCAGGCTACTCAGATTTTTCAGTCATCATTTTTCAGAGTTCATAGCATGACTTTTACAAGTCACAGGATAAGAAAACCAGGTGATACATAATTGGGCAGAAAGACAGTTGTAGGGCTGAGGGGGGGATACAAATGCTGGGTCACTTGACATGGAGAGCCTGAATTCTCTAGACTTCTTTCTTATCCCAAGAAAACTCCTATTTGTGCAGGCTTATCTCAGCTTGGCGTTGACCTGCTTAAATAGACACCAAGCTGTGAATGCCTTGTTGGAAGGCCAGGAGGGAAGGGGTAGTGTGTGCCCTGTATTCCCAAAGCGGAGTTTAAAGATGGGTGAAATATGTCCTGAAGATAATTTTTAATTGTGTGTCCTTATTCCTTGTTCATCGCCTCCTTCCAGTATTTGGTCTTTGCTAAGCTATGTAGAGTCAGTTTTACAGTGACCTACAGCTCCTCGCATTAACTCTGTGGTGGCAAAGAGTGTGATTGGTTCAGGTGAAGGTTCAGAAGTATGAGTGGCAGTTTGCAAATAAGAACTGACACTCCTCTATTTTAGTGTTTGTGAAATTCTCTATTAATATTTAATTTTAATTTGTTGAGAATTTTTGATATGTTCTTCGACATAGAATTTCTAATGGAGTAAAGTACATTTTTTTAATATAAATTAAGCTAAAACTTGTTTTAGCTTGTTTTAAAATGTTCAAATTTGAATATTTTATCAAATGAAAGCGGTTACTCTGGAAAGTAAGACAAATGTTTGCATATTTATATTTGCCTGTTTGAACCAAAATAATGTACTGCTTTAAATTATTTATGTTTAAAGAGGGATTTTATGTTAGGATAACCCTTTAAAAGATGTTAAATCATTTTTTTCTTTGAATTAAAAAAAATACATGTTGGTTAACAAAAAATTTATGTATTTTCCCACAAAATGTTTTCTTCATGATTTTGCCCCTTGGAATGCTTTAAAAATCAGCATTTCATGAATCCAAATTCAGACCTTCACTCCAGAGACCGGTGCTATTGAAATTTAACCACCACAGTGTATATCATACACTTTGAAAGCAGCCTAATAAAGACCCATTAGTCAATAAAATAGTAAAAAAGCCTTCCCTCAAAATTTCACACTCCCAGAAAACTGGTCAGATACATAGAAAATAACTTTCTTAAAAGCTTTTTGTCTATAAAGCTAGAGATAGTTCTAGAAAACAATAGGATATTACAAAAATTAGATTTAAAAAACTGATATAAAAGTGAATCTGAAGTTATGTAGTACCTCTGGAAATAAACCTTGTGGTTTCCTGTAATTTATTACGCACCTCAATGATCAAAACTGGAATTGCAGAGACATAGAACTTCAGAAAATCTTAGGGGAAGACATATATCGAAAATACAACTATAGTTGCTAAGATGCTTCTCTACTCTCTTTCCTGGGTCGAAATCAGTTCCTTCCCTTTACCTAGGAGACCCAGATCACAGTTAAGGTTTATATTTTGTTCCCATAACTCCTCTGGAAGCATACTGTTCTGAGCCTTTCCTGATGCATCATGCTAGGGGTCCCACAGGTGGCTTCGGAAAAAAATCTCCAACTTTTTATTGATTCTCTCCATTCTCTCAACATGTCAACAGAGGTTTTCTAATAATTCTCTTTCTCTTATGTTAGATCCAAAAATAATATATAGTATCTCAATTTTCAAATTCTGTGATAGTGGAAAAAATTACAGAATTTGATTGCTTGAATGCTAATTTGTTTTGAAATAAGACTTTTTCAGAAAGCTAAAATTGCCGGGTTTGGGGCTCGCGCCTGTAGTCCCTACCACTCGGGAGGCAGAGGCAGGAGGATCGCTTGAGCCCAGGCATTCTGGACTTCAGTGCGCTATGCCCATAGGATGTCCACTCTAAATTTGGCATCAATATGGTGACCTCCCTGGAGCGGAGAACCACCAGATTGCCTAAGGAGGAGTGAAGCGGCCCACGTCAAAAACGGAGCAGGTCCAAACTCCCGTGCTGATCAGAAGGCAAAAATTGGGCCGTTTTTAGAGAATAATTAGTATATAAAAACATGGTGGGGACTTTGCCCATAAACTCAGATATGTCTAAATGTATGTGTGTGTGTGTGTGTGTATGTGTGTATATATATATATAATATATATCCTTAGGATTTCCTAAAGAAAATCCCTCTTTAAATAAATCAAAAATTTTTATGGTTTCAAATAATTGCATTTAATATAAATAAAATATTTACTTTTGAACTGTCCTATATTTTATTTTCAGTCGTAAGGGTACTAAGTTATATAAAAGGAATTCTTAATAATTTTGAATTTTAGTGAAAGTTTTTATTCAGCGCAAACATTTCCAGCTTTTAATCTTGTTACTGCCAGTGACCTATTTTAGATTACCAGGTCTGTTAATCTTCTAGGCATTATTGGTTGCCTGGGTTTATAAATTGATTCATCAGTTTTATATAACTACAAATTGGAAAGTTGATTTTAAAATCTTAAAGGTAAAGGCTCTGGTCATATTTTTTATACCAAATGAACATGTACTAATTGATAATCACTTTCAACTCTTATCTCTGCTTGCTCTAATAAATCATCAGAATAACCTAAGGCCAGCAATAAAGTGGAGTCTTCCGCCTGTCCTTGGTTGAGGTATCACCATCATCGAAAGAAAATTTTTAATTGATTTAAATTCTTTAACCTCTATCACTACTCATGAAAAATAAAACCAAAGGATAGTCTCTGAGTTGCTTCAGAGGTAAATTCATTTCTGATATTACCAGAATACTTATAACAAAAATAAAGAAAAGAAAAGAAAGCTCCTTATGTGAAATTCTGAAGATTTACGTATCACACAATCAATCCAAAAATCGTGATTTCTGGTGCCTATAGCTTGAGCAATATACTTTGATTTCTAATTAGCACCATTAGGAAGATGAGTCATGTACCAAAGTGTTTTCTTTTTAAATGACAAAAGCTGTGCTAACTGTATGACAGACTTTTTTTTTTTGAAGTAGACTATTAAAGTTCATTTATGCTTTTATATAGCTCAGTTAGTGGACTATCCAAAGCCTACATTTAATAAGACTAGCGTAGGTTTATTTGTTATTTTTCTGAATTTTAAGATAACATAGTCCCAAAGTATAACCTGTGAACATACAGCAATCCTAACTGTATACTTTATGTACCCCATCCAGGTTCTATTTAAAAAATGAATAAATACATAATATAGCAGTAACTTATTCTCATTCAACCTAGTTATCACTTGAATATTAGAGGAACTTTTTACAGTTTAAGTGAAACTTGCTAACATCATCCTAAAGTATACCTATGAAATGGATTTAACATTTATTAGCTTTTTTCTCGTTTATTCACCTGCCTAACAATACAGAAGAGAGAGGGGAGAAAGTCATAAGTAATATTTTGCAATGGCTCTGTACTACAAAGGAAGCTGGAAATAAATTCAAGATTATTAGTACTTATAATGATATCTCCTCTGAAGAAGAATGAAGTGTCCTGTTGCAGTTTTTTGAAAGTGAGGGAAGAGAGAATATCTTGATGTATTTTCTTTCCAAAATAGGGCAGATTGAGTGTGAGTTTTAGAGCTCTGTGGCCCTGCTGAACAAGTGTTTGATGAATTGGAGTCCCTGATGTCTCCATAGAGCCAAATGTAAATCATTGAACCTGAAATATCAGGTTTCCATAGAAGCATATTGTAGTCAACAGTCTGATATTCAGCTGTAAGACACAGACAAGGTTGTTTTGTTTCCTGTGCCCTACTTGTTATTAAGTGTTTTTAATAGTACCCTGGTGGTTAAATTCCCAACCCAGCCCATAAATGACCGTGTTTAGCCCAGTAATAGACCTGAAAACAGGACTAATGATGTCATACACCCTAACTGTGTTAATGAAAACATCTCTCAGAAAATGTATTCAGAGTGCCAACCCAGGATCTTAGGAACACATACATCCATCTTCTTCAGCAATAGAAATAGGGACTTCAAGTTCCTTAATCTTGTCACTTATAAGGATTTCCACCAATGTCTAATGCTTGGCTACTGTAACCTGAACCAGGACTGGTTGGTTTGAGCAAGGGAATGAAGTTGGGGTTTTAGAAACTAGACCAGGAGCAAGAGTGGAATTGGGCAAGTCCTCTCCATGGATCAAGAGGTGGAGCAAAAGTTGGTTTGATCAGTCATGAAGGGGGGATTAATAGCAATGGGGAAATTAGAATGGGTTCCCAATCCCTTCATCTGTTTTCCTCACTTCTGTATTCGCTCTTTCCTCCATTTGTTTCTTTCCTCCTCGCTTGCTTTTTCTTTCTAACTTTCCTTATTAGTGATTGAAAAGTAATTCTTCGGGAATTTAGATGATGTTGCCTTTTCATTCTCCCTAAAACCTTCTTGCCAGCTTTCCATGTTAGGCAACGATAACAGAAAATGAGATGCTGAGAGAGAAATAAGCAAGTTGGGATAGACAAAGGATCTAGAAACTTGGAGCCGTGCTGCCCAGGCCTTTTGTAAGCATGCTGCCCCCTTGTGGGTAAACTAAGCATATAGCCACCCTCTTCTCTGTCCCACCACCCTTGATGATTATACCACTCCAGTAGCCACCCACCCTCTTTGCCAATACCTGCTACAGTAAATTGAGTTACATAACTTTTACAAATCTGAGCTTTACTTGCATTGGTACTGCAGCAGGTATTTTTTTCATCTTTTAAATGTAAAATTATATTGTAACATTGAATGTGCTTTCACAAATTGCCCTTAAAATTATGACATGCTGCCTTTACCCCTCTCCCTTCAAGAGTCACTATAGTTAATTACATCAGAAATGTCCGCGTGAGAATGGGAAAGGAAGGGACACACCTGAGCCAGCCACACTTAGGTTGGGGATTGCCTGTATCCCATGTACTCAACAGTTCTTTGGGAAAAGAGTA